TCATTAGACTAAGGTCCGCCATTACCTAATACTATGCATTGACCTTAGTCTGACAATACAGCTGTGGGAGGTGGGGACCAAGTACCCTGGAGTAGTGTTCCTATTCATTCAGTCATTAACTCAACAAACAATGACCATTTTCCTTGTGCCAAATGATTACAGGTGAGAACACAGATATGCATAAAGCAGGGTTTTACCTTCAAGGAACTTTCTGTCAACAGTAAAGGCAAATAAGTCCATCAATGAGTGCCTTACCATGGGTCAGGCTCTCTGAAAATAGCCTGTGCACAGAGGGAACACAAAAGGGCTGGGAGCCACACAGCAGAATATAACAGAGCAGGACCCGGAAGTGACTAAGGGTGGTCTTCTAGGGGAAGGTGGCGCTTGAGATAGCTGCTGAAAGATGAGTTGACATCAAAGGTATTTGGGGAGAAAGAGCCAAAATAGGCGGAACATAAACAGCAAGTCTATTTGGACAATTGCAAGGTTTTGGGTTTTTTTTTTTTTTTTTTTTTTTAACAAAACATGAAGGGGAGGGGGTTCTTTTAAATTTGTGAAGCATTCATAGTTGGTCAAGCTGTATGTATAATTACCTGGCTGCCTGCCAAAGCAACCTGTGTGTGCCTGCTTTTCAGCCTGCTGCGGGATTTAGTCAGGCGGCAAGTTTTTATTGTGTGCCCATTATGTCCATACACCATGGTAGGCATATGGGGGAAAAAGGGAAGGAGAAAGCAAGCAGAAAATCAAATATTGTGCAAAATGGAGCGTTTTTGTGTTGAGTGCTGGTTCCAGTTGGAGTTTCATCTGACTCACCGAGAGCAGGGACAATGCAGCCATTGTGGAAGCCAGAGCTGCAATCTCATGGCCGGTGCTGCCCCCTGCGCCTTGTGCTGTGGGTCTCACCGCTGAATTGCCTAATGCCTCTTGTGAGCACATCTTCATACTACCTTAGTGAAGCGAGGTCATTGCCTTCGGAGGCACGCTGGAGACTTTCCTATTGCAGTGAGTGGTCTTTGAGCCAAGTGGCCAGAAGACACAGAATGAGCAGAACCAAACAGTCCATGGGCACCAGACAGTTCTACCTTGGTGATGTCCATGAATAGCTGAGAATTCCCTATGGCACTTTTGGGGAGAACAGGGATGTAAATGAAGCAAGGCCACAAGTGAAATAGCGTTGAGGGCAGAGTGCTTAACTTCGGAGCTGGGGATTTTCTGAAAAGCAGTAATTTCAAATTCTCATTTTACCTAGTCCTGGCTATTGCTTCTCAGTGCACTCAGCTGCCCCAAACTCTAGCAGCTATGTTTAGGCAACACAAACCCCACCTTCTTGCCATCCCTTCAGACCACATCCTATTTCTTCTGCTCACTGCCAGATCTCTTGGAATAGTTACTGTATTTCCTGGCATCCATAGAATGACATCTTGCTACTATCATCATCATTAACCAAAAAGTAGACACTCTTGATGATTTTTATATGGGAAAGTAGCAACAGCCTGTGACACCTCAAGACTTTATCTGTAGCCCCGATGGTGTCCTGAGGTGTCAGAGGTTGCAGTCTTGGAATTAGGTAGCCTTATACATTGAATTAGAAATGCTGAAAGGATAGCTTGAGGGTTGTGGTGAAATATCAGCAGTGGTAAGTCCCAGTAGTAAGGTGAGTGAGAATGCTTAGTTTGAGGCAGCACCCTTTAAAGCATGGAATAGGGAAGATAAATAAAATTCAGACTACTAAAGCTTTAGCTTAATTCCATGGCATACAACAGCATGTTGGTAAGCTCTCCACATGGGACTAAGATCATAGAATGTCCTAGTGCAACTTTTCAATCTTATAGGTCTTGAGATAGGTAAAATAGAAAGACAGGTAATAAGAAATTAATCTGTTATATAACATTGAAGGTAAAATGTTTCATACCAATTTATGTGGAAATAGCTTTATTATGTCTCTGAAGTGGCTCAGTGTTAAGTTTCAGGGACTCTGACAAACTGGGATGGCTTCCAGACCCTTTGCACACATCCCCGTTTGTCAGTGTCCTACAAGCCCTGGCTGAAGAACTAGGCAAATGACCTAAGTCCAGAAAGCAGCGGCAGAAGCCAGATCTCTCTTCTCTCAGGAGGTAATTTCCCCAGACTATAGGAAGCAGGCTTTGTGACCCCCATTCTTTTAACTTACTTCCCCTACCCCTGTCCAAGATATGATAATAGAGCATCAAAGGAAGGAATCCTTGAAACTTAAGGAGGGTTTTTTTTTTTTTTTTTCATTGAAAGAAATGCTCTTTCTCATCTAATAAAAGGGAAAGCAAGGAAGGGGAAGGAGAAGGAGATGGACAAGGTGGCAAGGACAATCTTGTACTACACAGTCATTCTGGGATTCATTTCCCTGTATCCTTAATTCAGAGGCCCTGGCTGCCCTTGTTCACTCCAAATGGCCTTCCAATGCCTCACTTAATGTGTCTTCCAAGGGTTTCAAGCTCCAAAATTTCTTCAATCAGAATATCAGAGACCAATTACCAATTGCCAAAGACACACAGGAATCACATACCAATCATGGATAAAAGGAGTAGTAAGTAAAGGTAAGAATAATAAAATATTCTTTTCCAAATGTGAAGATCCTACCTACTCATTCTGTGGTCGAGGAACTGTTGATAAGGGTTTTAAGACTATATGGGGAAAAGAATATGTGGAAACTGAAGGCCTGAATGATACTGAATGGCCTAAAAGTACTTTATATAAGAGACCACTTCAAAGTCATTTTGCATATAAAACCAGTACGTGATAAATAATAGATAATGGAAATATCATCGGGTAGTTCAGTTTCTTGGGAGAAAGGGGTACATTTGTTTATTACCACTATCTATATACATGGTTCAGCCTGTTATAAAATGGTGATGAATATTTATTTTCTGATTAGCTAGAGAAATTACTGATTTAATTTTAAGTTAATGGTCTAATGTTCACAAATCAGTTTTATTTAATAAGAATTATTGCATTCTTATTTACCCCTCCATCTAAATATTCAGTGGTTTTTGTTGTTGTTGTTTGTTTCTATTTATGGAATTTTGGAATCTCCCAATGACCATATTCCACCAGGACCCTGTAGATGGAAAATACCTTGGAAAATCTGTGATGAGAAGAGATTTAGATCACCTTCATTTGACCTGCTTATTCCAGGAGAGCAGAATAACATTTCCAAAGAACACTCTCCTCTCCTCCAAGGCAGGGTTAAATGGGCCTGCTGACTGTCTGCCCTAAGCAGTTGTTTCTGGCCCATGTTCTGCTTCTTCCCCTCCTCCTTTGCTGGATCCTCTTCCTTTAATGTCAGAATTCCCCAAGACCCAGTCCTAATCCTGCTTATTCTTTTCCCCTATTCTAAGTGATCTCACCCATTTTTCTATTTCTGACTCCCAAATATATATATCTCTAGCTTTGATCTGCCTTTTCAACTCCAAATCTGTACATCCAACATCCACTACTGGACATTTGTACCCAAATATCCTCCAGGTAAAACAAGCAAAGCATTTTAGTTAAGTCCTAAGTGTAACTTTTGATGTTTGTTCCTCTTTTTATCACACACACCCAGTTCTTCCCTGTGGTGTTGTATCGTCCCATGTGGTATACAGTACTGCATACAGCAAGTCAAATACTGTGCTCAAAGCACAGAGCCATCTTAGGTCCAGAACATTCACCCACCTTCAATTCATGAGCAAGAATAGTCATTTTTAGCTCCCAAATAATTCTTATATCTGTCCCCTTGTCTCCAGTTCCACTCTGAACACCCAGGTCTAAGTGTTCCTCTTTTGAAAACCAAGGCAACATACTTCTCTCTGCCCCTAATCTTGCCCCTTGAAGAGCTAGTCTCCAAGCAGCAGCACGTAGGAAAACAAGAAATCCATAGTGTGAAATGTTGTGAAACCATTCAGTGGGTGTTGAGCCTATTATACTTGGAATATAATACAATGAAAAGGTGTCACTGTGACCTTCAAGGTCTACATGAAGTGTTCCCTCCCTGCCTATGCAAGTTCACTCTCCATATCGCAGCTACCTCTCCAGCCCCACCTTGAGCCCCACACACGATTTGCAGGCCATTGACAGTTACTAAGACATGGCCAGAGCTTTCCTGTCCTGCACCCTGGAAACTGCCCTATCCTGTGCTAATATGCTTTTCCCTTTGCCACTTTAAAAATTTTGGTTTCTATTTTGACATATAATAAGCACCTGTGCACCTACTAACAGAAATTAATAATTGCTGGCTGTTTGACCTTTTCCCTAGAATGTTAACATTAAAAAAGAAAGTTCTCCCTGATTCATTCCCTTTCCTTCTTACTCAAAGTGAATAATGAATATTGCTGGTTCCCTACCCTGCACCCATCCCCCCGCCATTCTTTCCTTCTGACACAACCTTGACTTTGTGAAGGCTTTTACACACCTCCCATCCCACTTCCACTTCCTGCCCCAACATCCTCACGTTCCTCAGCGAAGCCAGTTACAGCCCCATGTGGCTGGGGAGACAGGAGGGCGAGTGTTTTGGAGGCTAGTTTCATTTGGTTCCCGTGTACTGCAGGGAGCTTGTGGCCCTTCTAAAGGCTCCTACCCACCGCATCTTGCTCTCAGAAGTTTGTCTTTAGAGAACTGGAGTGGGACCAGAAGCGCCAGGCTAGCTGAATTTCTAATCCAATGCCAAGGCACAAGCTAAGCAGTATCCTTGTTTGTTCAGTCTTTATCATCAGTCACATGGCTGTCTGCTCTTAACTAAAAACAACATCAATATCACAGATAGAGGAAAACTGGACTTCCTGAATATCTCCATGTCTTTCCTCCTCAACAAGAAAGAAAAAAAAATTCCTTCTATAATCTTTTTTTTTTTTTTTTGGCGGGGGGGGGTTGTGCATGATTTTCTGTAGTTGTGTTTAAACTCATTGTTTATAAGGTTAAGCCTCCATTCTAAACACACAATGTTTAAAATTACAACTTGGAACAAATGTCCATTTTTTCCTCTCCTGTAGGTTGCAGCCTGTTCACTTTCCTGACATCGGTCACTGCAGCTCTCAGTGGCCTCCTGGTGGGTTATGAACTTGGACTCATCTCTGGGGCTCTTCTCCAGATCAAAACCCTACTAGCCCTGACCTGCCATGAGCAGGAAATGGTTGTGAGCTCCCTCCTCATTGGGGCTTTCCTCGCCTCTCTCACAGGAGGGGTTCTGATAGACAGATATGGAAGAAGGACTGCAATCATCTTGTCATCCTGTCTACTTGGACTTGGAAGCTTGGTCTTGATACTCAGTTTTTCCTACACAGTTCTTATATTGGGACGCATTGCTATAGGGGTTTCCATTTCCCTGTCTTCCATTGCCACTTGTGTGTACATTGCAGAGATTGCTCCCCAACACAGAAGAGGCCTTCTTGTGTCACTGAATGAGCTGATGATTGTCACCGGCATTCTTTTTGCCTATATTTCAAATTATGCATTCGCCAGTGTTTCCCATGGATGGAAGTATATGTTTGGTCTTGTTATTCCCTTGGGAGTTTTGCAAGCAATTGCGATGTACTGTCTTCCTCCAAGCCCTCGGTTTCTGGTGATGAAAGGACAAGAAGAAGTTGCTAGCAAAGTTCTTGGAAGGTTAAGAGCCATCTCAGACACAACTGAGGAACTCACTGTGATTAAATCTTCCTTGAAAGATGAATATCAGTATACTTTTTGGGATCTGTTTCGTTCCAAGGACAACATGAGGACCCGAATCATGATAGGTCTAACACTGGTATTTTTTGTACAAGTCACTGGCCAGCCAAACATATTATTCTATGCATCAACTGTTTTGAAGTCTGTTGGCTTTCAAAGTAATGAGGCAGCCAGCCTCGCTTCCACTGGGGTTGGGGTGGTCAAGGTCATCAGCACCATCCCAGCCACCCTTCTTGTAGATCATGTTGGCAGCAAAACCTTCCTCTGCATTGGCTCCTCTGTAATGGCAGCTTCATTGTTGACCATGGGCATTGTGAATCTTAACATTCACATGAACTTCACCAACATCTGCAGAAACCACAGTCCTATCAACCAGTCCTTGGATGAGTCTGTGTATTATGGAGCAAGAAATCTGTCAGCTAGCAACAGTACTCTCAGAGATCACTTTAAAGGGGTCACTTCCCTCAGCAGGGGCTCGCTCATGCCCATGCAAAGTGACATGGATAAGAGAGGGGAGGTCACCTCCACACCCTTACCAAATGCTGGACTAAGCCAAACTGAACACCAGATAGTCACCGACCCTGCTGATGTCCCAGCATTTTTGAAATGGCTGTCCTTAGCCAGCTTGCTTGCTTATATTGCTGCTTTTTCCATTGGTCTAGGACCAAGTAAGTATTTTATTCTTTATCCCATTTCTCTCTTGCCTTATGAATGTCTGTGTACTGTTTTTAACTAGTCAGAGCATCATACTGCTATAATATGTTGCTACATATAAGTACTAGAAGCAAGACAAGGGTAATAATGACTGTCTGATGTTTCTGCTAATGTGGTCAGTTTGTACCTGCTTTTGAAAAGCCCAGGACTTTTGAAAAGGATAAGTAAATATGAGGATACTTTAATACAACTGTTTGGGTATGAATCAACCTATAAAGAGATTTATTGCCCAAGGACATTGTATTGTTTTATGAAAGCAATGTTTTCTGGGATTATATTTTCCTGCATACCATTTCTAAGTTTCCTTGTGGGTGGAAGCAAAATAAATCAAGTGCTTATATTTTCTTAAAGACATGACGATAAATATATTCAGGTAATAATGACGAAGAGAGAAATTATGAATATAGAAGAGGATGCATTCTTTCTCTGAGTAAATTGTATTTGCTACAATAATCTTTTCAGGGCACTTCACTCTTGTCTATTAAATAGAATAATGGAAGTTTAGTTAGGTCCATTCAACACAATATGAGCAGCTAACAGGGAACATTTTCTGTTTTTTATTTTTTAGATCCAGTCTGTTCCCATAAGAAAATCCAAACACTTCTTGAGTAAACTCTTTTAGAGATGGATCTGCTAGAATAGGTTGTTTGTGCAGTTCTGCAGACTTTTAGCCTCAATCCAAAGTTGGAACTTTCTTGTAGTGCGGTTGAGAAAGTTCTTTTTAATGCCTCATTAGGAAAAAAAAAGTGCTAAATATTGAAGGCAGTTTTTCCATACCACCCCTACCTTCATCTCTTCTTTCTCTCTTTCCCCCTTCTCATTCCTCTCCCTCCTTTTCCCCCCTTTTCTCGGTCTCTTCCTGTTACCGAGTTAGTTTTGAAACTTATTGACAAGAACCAAGGAGGCAAACAAATTGGCTAAAATAAAAAGAAACGTTGGAAGTTTCAGACAAATAAGAAGAGATAGGGGCTGTGTTGAAGAAGGAATTTCATGGCAAATGTAGGTCTGCTGGACGGGCTTTCTAGAGGAAGGACAAGTAAGGGCTTGCTCTCTCTATTCAATGCTAACTCATTACCTGCATTCCACAGATATGTTGAGTGTCTTTTTTTTTTTTTTTTTAAGAATAAATAACCATGCAAAATGCTAGGGAAATGGTGATGAACAAGCAAGGCCTCATTCCTGTCCTCATGGAGATTGCAGGTGTACTATATCCAGTCAGGTTTTTCCAATCAGCAACCACTGGGGTTGGCCTGCTCCATCTTTGGGCACTAAACTTGTATATGCTGATATGGCCTCTCTTGCCCCAATTATACCTCTTCATTGTTCAGCTTCTACTCCCACTTCTAAAACCTCAGCTTCTACATATTGATTTGTTCAAATTCCAAGAGATGAGGAGTAAATCTGATAAACCCTGCTTTTTGCTATGCAAAGTCAGTGGTGTTGGTTCAAGTATAATCAACAATGGCAAGGTTTGATTGTAGGTTTCAAAACGTGGGTGACCAAAAGCTGGCCTGTTCTCTGACTCCATATTTCCCAGAGAAGGTTGTGTGGGGCAGACAGACTAATATTAGCATGCCATTATCCTTGGATTGCTCTGACTTGTTCCTGAAATTTGGTCCTTCTTCTTAAGACTTATCAATGATAAAATATCCTTAATGAACACCTTTATTAGGATTCAATATTTTGGGTATATATCTGTGTGATATTTATGTGGCTACTCTGATACTTTAAGCTAATGACATCTGATCAAGCATCTTCTTTACATTTTTATTTTAAGTTCTTCATAGTCTATCAGAGGATCAGGTCATACACAGAGGAACAACTTGATCTTATTTGTGAAAGTTTCCTATATGAGCAAGTAAGTTGGGCTTATTTGAGAAACTTCAGGTAGTAGGTTATCAATCCATTGATTTCTTTTGTCAGAATTATTTTTTTCCATGTATGTTCATTATAAAACTAAAAATATTTCCTTGTACATCAATTTTCTTGACCCAATGTTTTGAAACTCTCAGGTTGAAAGAGTTTGTGTCATGGCATATATATATATATATATATATATATATATATATATATATATGATAGTAATCTTAAATTTCCAGAATCAACTTGTTCATGGTTAGAGTCCTTTCAATTTCATGCTAGTCTTCTGCCTTTGACTTCTGAAAATTTTTGAAAAATGCAGCAAATTTTGCAGTTTTTAACCCATCACTTGATACCACATTGCATTAGATCATGAATTCCCTTTTTCAGGAAACCTAGTTTGGTTTTGGAAACAATTACTAGAGACTGTTTGTTATTTACCTTCTAGGATTTCTTAAACAACATTCTACTCTAATTTTTAAAAATATGATTAAAGTTTAAAGTCAACCAGTATGTACTGACACCTCTTATGTTACATACTGTGATAGGCAGTTTTCACATATTTTGGAGTACTTCATTTTACCTTCGTCACTACCTTGTGAAGAAATAATATTCACTGAATTTTAAAAACAAAGACACTGAACCTCAAAAAAAAATTGAGCAACTTGTTGGAATAGATGAAAACATTTATTGTATTTCGAAATTTAACATTAATTCCCCAGTCCAAGACAAGAATAGACAGCAAATTTTAACGTGCTAGTCACCTTTCCATTGCTGTGTGGAGCAGAAAAACCAATATAAAAGGAGGAAAGATTTATATTGGCTCATGGTTTCTGAAGTTTTAGTCCATGGTTGCTTGGTTCTGTTGCCTTTGGACCTGTGGCAAGGAAGTACCTCATGGCAGAAATGTGTGGTAGAGGAAACACCTACATAGCGGTGGCCAGAAAGCAAAGAGAAAGACAGGAAAGGACCTGGATCTCAATATTGCCTTCAAAGACATACCCCGAATGACTTCATTCCCTTCCACTAGGCTCTACCTCCTAAAGGTTCACACCTCCGATAGCACCCAGGCTGTTGTCTAAGCCTCTAACCCAGGGGCCTAGACATTCCAGATCCAAACATTATCTGTTAATTATTTTTAGTTCAGCCCTCTCCTGGAAGAGACATTGAAAGTAGGAATGAATAAAAGTAGTTTGTCACTGTATACTCACCAGGCTATCACATGGGCCGCTTTGTACTTTTTGCAAGGTAGAGACACAACTGCTCTTTTTTTGCAGCTTTGATAGGTTGAGTATGCATTTTTTTTTAAAGGCCGAACTATAGGAAAAAAGAGAAGTATAATAATAAGAAGAGAATTTTTGATGTGCATTTATTTGGATAACTGAACCTGATTTCAAATATGTTGAATGTAAGTATTGTTAAAAATTAGACTCAGCTGATATAAATTAAAAACCAAAATAACAATGGCTTAAGCAAGTTAGAAGTTTCTTTCTCTATCACTTACCAGCTGGAGCTTGGGTAGTTCTGGGTGCTGGTAAATGCCTAGCGTCAAGCACCCGAAGTCCTAGTTGTCCCACACCCTTATGTTAATATGTTCCTAGTCTATCTTTTATCTTAAGTCTATGTTTATCTTAAATTGTTAAGATGCATTTTAAAATGTTATTATCCTTTAGTTGTAGCTAATGTTCCCTTTAGAATAAGTACAATATGCTAGGTGAAATCACTTCAAGGGAGGTTGGGTAGGGAAATGCCTGGGTAAATGTAACCACGTGAACAACTGCACCAGAAGAACTACTGTGTGTAATATGGTAAGGGATTTCTCATAGGGAATAGACATCACATAATTGTGGAAGAAATCAAGGAAGCAAGGTCTAGAACAGGACAGCTAGAGGAAAGGCAAAAACTTACTGATCAGGGCCACAAAGGCTAGTGAAGATGTCCTTGGAAGACTGTTGCCTATGCGTCTGATTGCAGCCTAGAGTCTCTGCAGACAGAGGGAAAACAGGATTCAAAGCAGAAGGAAGAAAAAGCATTGAACCTGCTACAACAAACTAGAGTCCATGAGAAGAGACTGCAGTCTGCATCTGTCGTTCCCCACATCAGGTCCCGGGTTTCAGGCCAGCTGCAGAAAAATGGCCACCTTTCTCCAAGAAATCCAACAATGTACCTCCCTGGCCTGGGACTTAGAGAAGATGTAGGAAGAGATCTAGCCACAATCCCTGCTCCCCAACATTGATAAGAGAGCCAGTGATGAGCAACATGGTATGCAGACCGTAATCATGGCTAGAGGCAACCAAAGCAAGTCCAGGACTGATGTGTCACTTTGGTCCTAAATTGATACAGGATTCTCATCTCAACTCTCATCCAGAACTGCACAGGAAGGGAATTCTGGGAAATGTAGGTCCACCTTAATTGAGGTAACACAGTATAAAACCACCACAATGATAAACTAGGAACTCAAATAGGATAGATATGAATACGGAAAAATACATTTCAAAAGGCCAAGGGACCTGAATTCGGTCTTCAGTTTCTGTAGTAAACATTTCTAAAAAATTAAAATGTTAATTATTAAAGTGTATAATTAGCTTCCATTCAAAACACTTCTAAAAAAAAAGTGAGGTCATTTTATTAATCTCTTGGCTGCTGTTTGTTTAACTATAAAACTGAAAAACACTTTTTGGCTAATGCATCATAAAGGTTTTCATGTTTGTTTTCTCAGGAACATTAATCATCTCCCTTGAGCGGATGGTTCTCACTTATCTCCAGTTCTGTCATCTCACATGACTTCCTGTTCCTTTTTTCCCCAATGGGTATGAGTCTTTTCCACTTTGATGCTTCACTGTCAGCCGAACACAACAAGCCTGAAGTGGAATTTTTTTCTTCTTATACCAAGTCTCTTACCATTTCCCTTCCTTTTACATGGGGTAACCACTCCTCCAGCTACTTGGAAATGATGCTTTGGGGCCTTTACTCAATTTAGTCAGTAGCCAAATGTTCTTGGATTTTTCTTCACAAATAGCTCCCCCTGTTTATTGTTTCCTTTCTATTTCTAACATTCTTTTCTAGCCTTATGTTCTCATTCCTAGATTACTGG